TAAATAAAATTATAATTTTACCATTATATTCTATTAATTAAATTAATAAAAATAAGATTTTTATCTACAAAAAATTATCAATTTTATTTCTAATTTTTAACTATATAAATATTATTAGATAGAAGCACTTATTACTGAAAAAATGCATCTTACAAGTTATAAAGTAAAGTTAAAAATGATTTATAAATAATTTTAAACTATAATAAATATTTTATTATGACAAAGATAATTTTAGTATGAATTAATTAACTTTTTATTAACTTTACTAATTAACTTTTACATTTTTACAAGTGGTTGAACCTAACCTTTTCAAACTCCCTTGAAGCTTGAGCTCAACTATAGGAGTGTAGGAGTCTAGCTCGATCTCAAATACTCTAATACTTAAATTAGTTTTATTAATTTAGAATAATATTTAATCTCATCATTATATTTACTATGACTATCCATAATCGGCATAACTCCAAAAAATTTAATTACCTAATCTCACCAAACCACCAACCATTCCTTTCCATCTAATGAAATGTCGCTCCAACATTTGGTCGAACACTTTCTTGACATCCACTCGACACACGAACAACTTAACATCAATGACTGTTGGAGGGTTAAATGATAAAGACTGAACATGGAAGACTTAAGTAGAAAAAAATGGCAACTTCAGGAGCTACCTTAGAAATCTTCCCTCCGGCCTGCCAACCTGGACAGAGCTGGAGGACGGCGATAACAATTTTCAACTCTCTGGTGTCAATTCTTCTCCTTTCTGCCTTTCTTCTCTCTCTTAACTATACAGACTCACCGTCGCCGTCCACGTCTCTCCGATCTGCTACGTCCAAAGTTTGAACAATCAAGATGAACGATTTACTTGGGGTAACGTACTCAATCCCTCCCATCTTTACTCAAGGGTGCTTTGATTTCTCAATTTGTTGGGTTCAATTTAATTGTCTCCAAGCTCTTGCCTTTGCATTCACTCTACTTGAATTCTTCTATTTCAATTAATGGGAAAAGGTCGAACCTTGTTAAGGATCACTTTTATCTTTTTGTTTTCTTTTGATGCTGGCAAGAATTACGGAAAGGCTGCATTCTCTTTTGTGGATCTGCTCAAATTAATTGGATTTGCTGCTTTGATCATGTTTCATATTTAGTTTTTGATGATCCTCTAATATTATAAAATTGAGGGCTGATTTGGGTTTATCTAACATCTTAGTTTGTTTCTAAATGTGGTTGGTGGGCTCTGTTTTTGTGTTCTGTTATTAATGTTCTTGTTGTGCTGCGCTAGGATTCATTCGTCAATGATGGCAATGGACATCCGCCCAGGAATAATGATATTGAAATGGGACTTCAAATTCCAACAAGTAGTTCTGACATGGGAATGGAGGCTTTCAATAAGCAGGTATCAAGCATGTTTTGTTGTTTATTGTTCTTAACAGTTTGGAAGTAAAAGTGAAAAGCTTGCTTGTTATCCTGCCGGACTGTGAAAGGAAATTGCAAATTGTGCATAATGCTTGAGAATTACTTGTGACTTGTATTAATTTTCATATTGTCTTTCAATGGGAAGATTCAAATAATGAACATCACTTTGGTAATGTTTAGTTTTCCTTTTCTAGGTATTTCCTCTTAACCACCTTTTACTTATATGTTGTTGGAATTTAGATACAAGATGTTGAGAAACAGGTGGACAAGCTATCAGGGCTGCTTAGAAAACTTAAGGTATGTTTTTATGATTTTTTCCAATATCTTTTTAATTCTTTCATAACGGGACGTTGATGGGCAATAGATTGTAAATACTGAGTTATGATTGTTGTATCATTTTCTTGATTTGTCAGTCATCCCACCTTGTTTTGTTTACCAGGTCTCGTTGTAAATTTTAATAGTTCAGCTCTCCAGCATTTTGTTCAACAGTTTTGCTTTTCATGTCATTAGAAGATTTATTGGGAAGAGGAAGAAAGGAGTTTGGAACTACTTTACCTTTTTGTAATGGTCTTGAACTACTACTTTAGTTGATTATGCTTCCTACTCCTAGGAAGCATTTAATAGACTACGATTGGCCCTTCAAAATATTTTCCTTGCCAGATTTATATAGTTTTGCTTAGTCCACCAAACAACCATCCATCTTGCTTGCAGGATTCCATACTGCTAGTACCTATTGGTGTGATCCCATTTGGACATAAACTTTGGTTGAGATATTGATAATTCTCTCTGTCCGACTTTGTTAACATTTAAGTGTGATGTATGTGGTCGTACCCTATAATTAGACCTGTTTTTACTATGGTAACCATTTCATCTCCAAAGAGTATTATGCTGTTTTAGATATTTCTTTGCTACTTTTTGTAACTAATTGGCTGAGTAAATCTTGATGATTACTGTAAAGTTAAACTGATGATGTTCATATTTTACTTCTCAATCCTATAATGTGTGTGGACTTCTCACAGGATGCTAATGAGGAGTCAAAATCTGTGACAAAAGCATCTGCTATGAAAGGTATAAACTTTGGCTCAGCATTTTATTAGTCTCTGGAGTCTGAGTGACATGATGGAATCAGACTTTAAGTCCTGCTGAATGAGTATATACTTTGAATCAGCTTTGTTTTAGACAAATAAAGTCCATGCAGCTACTAACATGAGAAGACCCTTTCTTTTGTTTTTTTAATGTTTGTTTTATTTCTGCATTGCCTAAAAGTTTTTGCAAATTATTTTAGCCATCAAGAAGCGAATGGAGAAAGATATAGATGAAGTGGGAAAGATTGCACGTAATGTGAAAGCAAAACTTGAAGCAATCAGCAAAGAAGTAACATTCAACTTCATTTTTCTGCTCTGAATCTATTTTCACATTCTGCCATGAGAGCTATTTTTAACCTTGATTTGCTGTTTCTTTTCCCCCTTTTGTCTCTAGAATTTAGCTAATCGGAAGAAACCTGGATGTGAGAAGGGAACAAGTGTTGACAGATCCAGGATGAATGTTATGAAGTGTGTTTCATATGCTAAGTTTTAACTTTTTATTGTATTGAATAGTTTTAGGAAGTTGACTGATATTTTTTTAATCATTTGTTTTTATATTCCAATTGCAGTGCCTTGACAAAAAAATTCAAGGATTTGATGACAGAATTTCAGGTATATTACACATTGTGGCTGTTTTTTATTGGATACTTCTCTCAATAATCTCATTCTTGTATTCTGTTTCAGACTCTAAGACAAAAGATACAAGATGAGTACCGTGAAGTGGTGGAAAGAAGGGTCATTACAGGTTAGAAAACAGGCATTATTAGCAAATATACTAAAGTGGTTAATCATTTTCTCTAAATATGCTTTTCCTTTTTTTCATTTGAACAGTTACAGGAACCAGACCTGATGAAGAGGTAAGCCCGAGTTTGAATTTGCAACATTAGCTATATTAAATATGGATTTTATTGTGATTGCTTAAATTTAATGATTTCTTAGACAATTGATCACCTCATTGAAACTGGAAACAGTGAGCAAATCTTCCAAAAGGCAATTCAAGAACAGGGACGGGGACAGGTATTTCCTTTCTTATGTGTAATACGAAGTCACTGTAATGACTATTTTGTGGTTTGAAAAGTTCATTGCAAGATAATCAAGGCTTGACTCCTTTGTAGCTTTTATTATCATTGTTATCACATGTGTGACATGTTTCAGCGTTAATAGTAGATTTGAGAAATTTCTAAATGGTCCAACCATCCTAATGTAATGGATTTGACAAATATAAACAATTTGAGTAATATAGAAACATAATCAAGCTACGATGCTCAATTAATTACTTATGCAATGTATTTACTTCACTGAATAGAAAAGATAAGGGAACCATAAATTTATTGAGCATTAGGGACCTATGCATTCATGAAGGTATGAGATAGGATTTTGGTTGCCTAAATAGACTAACTCTGGGTCTCTAGGTTTTCTGATTATCATGCTTCTTTGGTCGCAGTCCATTTGTTTGTTTGTTTTTTCCTGTCTAAGAATTTGGATCTTCATTGGCATTGCTGGACTCCCCTTTTAAAGTAACTTTCCTAATTTTCATAAAAGTTTTAGAAACCAAGGCAAAGAGACTTTTATGGAGAGAGTATGTATAGCTTCAGGTCATCAACAGTCTTTTTCCTTTCGGAATGTATGACACCTAGGAAGACAAACAGGGTTTGACAAATGAAAATTTACCATGCTTTGAACCCTAAATTGACTAAATGGAACTACACTTGCTTCAGAATGGTTGGAATGCAACATATGTTTCTACATTTTGCTGACTGTAGCATTATTTTATTAGAATTTTAAAAGTTAGAAGGGGATATGCAAAAGATGTGGAAAATATAAATTTGCTTGTGGCAGCTCATGGTTTTCTGCTCAAAAATATTTTATTGGCGGCTTTTGCTTCAACAGTAATTAGAGAATCTTGTGATTTATGGCTTTTAGTTACAGATTAGTTGTTACCTAATCTTTCAAGTACTGTTGTAGGTGCTAAATACAGTGGAAGAAATTCAAGAGAGACATGATGCTGTGAAGGAGATTGAGAAAAAACTTCTTGACTTGCAGCAGGTAATTCTTCACTGCATCCCAAGTCAAGCATGTATGATGGATGGACCAAAGTAACTTTTCTAATGTGTCTCTTTGTCCAGATTTACCTTGATATGGCAGTTCTTGTTGAGGCTCAAGGAGAGATTTTAGACAACATTGAAAGTCAGGTTTGTTTTTCTTCTGACATGATTCTTAGAGGGTTTGTTTGCCTGGTCTTATGTGTTAATGGAATCTTCTTCAGGTTGCAACTGCAGTCAGTAGTGTCCAAACAGGAACAACAGCACTTCAAAAGGCAAAGAAACTTCAGAAGAATAGCAGAAAATGGATGTGCATTGCCATTATAATTCTCTTACTCATAGTAGCTGTTATAGTTGTCGGTGTCTTAAAACCGTGGCAGAGTAACAAGGGTGCTTGAGTTTGCTCTAGTTACTCAACCACATTTTGTTTTTATTCTTCTAAAGAACTAATTTGCTTGTGTCAAGTGTGTTTTTCTTTTTATGGTATTATTTTGATGATCGTTTTCTAATCTTTATCATGAGTGACCGTGTAAAGCTTGTTTATGAGATTTGATGTGATGTGCCACTAAGTATATGTCAACATTCTTTTATCTGTATCATTTTATATCATATTAATTATTTTATCAACCTTAAATGAATCACTATTGTAATTCATGTTGTTGTCCTAAAAAACCTAAAAAATTACTTACTAGATTGAGATGGGATTTTCCCACCAGAAAATAATCTAGGTTTTTCTCTAATAATAAAATAAACTCAGTAAGGTCTTATTTATAACAAATATTCAACCTTATTAATATGATTGACAATAATATAATTACAATATTAGATAAAATTATAAATTTATAATTATAATATGTTATTAAATGAATGAATGCATATAATATTACTAGTAAATTTTTAAATAAAAAAACTAATTATATAATGATATCTTGATTGAACGCAAGTGATGTTATAATTATATTATTTTTGTAATACCATTCTCTATCTTTTCTTTTTAGCAATTAAATTGATTTTCACTAAAAAAAAATAAAGAAGATTACGGAGTGATTCCTATGAAAACATGCTGATTAACAACAACAAATATTTTTGGATACAAAACAACAATAAATTTGAACCTGGAACACTAGTAATTGTTGCTATGCACACTAAGGGTGCATTTGGGATTGCAATTGAATGCTTTTTCATGTAGTCACATAACATTGTTAAATATGTGTTTAATAATTTTTTTTCAGATTATTTTTTCTAAAAGTTATAAAAAGTCATAGTAGATCTACAGTAATTTTATATATAAAATTAGAAACCTCACTCTGGAGCTTTTTGGTTGTGATTTTTATGGAAAACACGCAATATTTCATATAATTACAAAATTATTTGTTAAAACCTAATTTTCTATAATATTTTTAAAAAATAAGTAACCAAACAACATAATAACTTTTGGTTACAACTACAGTTCAGTACATCTACAGTTACAACATTTTACAGCAATCTCAAATACACCCTAATAAAAGATGATATGGTTGATATGACCATAACTAGTATGGATAATTAAGAACAAATGGTCATCAAATACTAAATATTAACTAAGCAGTTGCAGGGAAAATAAACAAACTTAACAGCATGAATTAATTTTGTATTGTGAGTTGTTTCCCCAAAAATCCTCTAGTGGCCTTGCATGTATGAAATCTGGATGTGAGCATGTCACTTATTTTGCTGAAAGTAAGAAAGAAGGACTTTCTCAACGACCCTCTTCTTCCTCACGGTCGACCTCTTTGCAGATGATGGGAAAAACGTTGGATTTCCAGCCTCGCCAACATAACGCTTTACTATTTTATCAATCTATTGGGCCACTTTAATCATATTTGGGCAAACAATTGGCTTGTCTGCTACCACTTCTGCCACATCCAGATCAAAGTTAGCGTCACTATAGTAAGCCTCATAAGATGCAGATTTCCTTTGTGTGTCATCTCGCAATAAATTTTCATAATGTTGCAATCTTCCACGGCCAAAATCTTGTTGTTTTGATTGCTCACGGCCAGATTTGGCCTACTTACACATTCATATTAGCACATTTATTGAATTATGAAATGCCTAAATTTTTGCAATTTATGGTGTAAACATTGCCCCTCAACACTTGGTTTTATGGACATAAATCCAAGTGTTTTTAAATTAAATAAATTGCATGCACAACTTTTCAGTAGAGCGTTATGTCGGCGAGGTTGGAAAACAGTATATTTTTGACATTTTAAAGACTAATGAAATTTTTTAATACCTTAAAAAGAGTGGTATAATTAAGCAAAAATTTAGGATCATGCCACGTGTCAAAAATTTTTAAATGGATGGAGGATATTAAGCCATGTTAGATTCATGATTCTCGGTCTTATGACAGACTAGCTGTCATTTTGGCAAAAAATGGGAGATAAAGATGAGATTTTACTGTGTAATTATCTCTTTGAGGTAAAAAAGGACTGTTTGAGCTAAAATATAGGAGAGGATTGCAGTTAAAGAGGGGTTTTATCTGATAAGGGCACATGTGGTGAAAATCTGGAAGGAGATCAAACCAAGTCAATAAGTAAGCTGTCCCACTACCTCAATAAACCATCCACAACTCTGTAACTGCTGCAGAAAGTGGGGGGTTACTGCCGGCCAAAGGAGAACAAAAAAGAAAATTTGGAAGGGAGAACACACGACTAGCCCTACTCAAACATTTGCAAATTTTTAGACTTTATTTTCTCTGCAATTGCTTCTAGATTTCGAATTTCAACACAGATTCCAGTAGATCTAGGTTATTTTTCATCATTTCAGTAAGCAAATTAATTCATGTATTCAGTTCAACAATTTCCTTTCATGCAATGAATTTCAATCTTTCAAGTTCATGCAAGGTATTGTTCTTTTTCTATTTGCAATTAATTTAATGTTTATTATAAGTAGCATTTTATTCAATGATTACTTATGTGGTGTTCACACTTCTTTTCAACTTTAAGCATGTTAGTTTAATCACTGTTCACGTTAATTTTAATATTAATTAGGATAAAATCTTTAATTCTACAACATTTTAATTTCCAAATTTGCCAATAGATAGCATTTTAATTTAACAATGAACATGTTTAATTTAATTTGGGCACATTTTATTCTCACAAATTTATTTTAAATTGCAAGTTATTTAGTTCAATTAGGATTTGTTAATTTTAAGTCACGGTAGTGTTTAAGTCATTGGAGTTGTCCAAGGTAGATTTCGTAATCTATTCTGCAAGAAGGTATCCCTCCCTCTTGCAAATCATCTATAGGCGTAGATTTCAATTTTAATCCAACATTCTTCCCGCCATTTGCAAGGAGATCGATCGTGAGTAAGGAGATGGTCGTTAGGAAAGTCCTCCTTTCTTACTTTCAGCAAAGTAAGTGGCATGCCCGCATCCGGATTTCACACGTGCGAGGTCACTAGAGGATGTTTGGGGAAACTTGACTGCCTTCACCAAGCCCAATTTGTAAAGTCTAGGCAGCCTTCCAAACGTTTCTTTTTGGTGGCATAATTATGCCTTTTCTTGGAAAAAGGAACAACGGATCTAAAAACTGTAAGTAAGACACGGTGAGGTCCCACCGAGTGTGCCACTAATGCAGTGGAAGTTCAGTTTTATGATGAAGATATTGGGATTATCCATTTCTTTTAAAGAGGGGTTTTATCTGATAAGGGCACAGGTGGCGAAAATCTGGAAGGAGATTAGACCAAGTCAATGGGTGAGCTGTCTGGACTTTTCCAACGACCCTCTCCTTTCTCACGGTTGACCTCTTTGCAAATGGTGGGAAGAACGTTGGATTAAAACCAGCTGGAATGCATCCAATATCTCTCAAGTAATGCATTATAAGTGGCAATGGTGTCAACCACAAAGAAAATCTCTTCCATCCATTTAAAAAATTTTTGACAGGTGGCATGATCTTAAATTTTTGCAATTTATGGTGCAAACACGAGTATTTAAGAAGTTTCATCTAAATAATCCATGTTTCAAGGGTAGAACCAAAACAAGTTATAACCAGTACAAGCTCAACTAGCCCTATGTTTATGTTTCCTTCCTTCTCCACCAAGGACAAAACTAAATGAAAAACATAAAGAAAGACAAAACAGTCCTCATGAAGAGGAAGAAATCCTTAAAAAGAGGAGAAAAACTACTACCTTTATTCATGTTCTCTAACTAACAAGGGAGAGAGAGGCTGCGATGATTAGGGAAAAGGGAAGAAGCAACAAAGGGGGACAACGAGGGAGAGATGACTTATTAACACTATTTTCTTGAGTCTTGATTTCACATTATTCTTCTGATGTTGAAATCTTTTAGTCTAGGTGTAATTTGTTAAAAATCAAATTAACTGATACATGAAAAACAATATTTTTAAAAATTTTGAGTTTTGATGTGGTCACCTAATTACTTCTGCATTTTTGTCTAGAGGTTGTTATTAAATAGCAAATCTTTTTAAAGAGCGGGTTTCAATTAGGGGAAGGGAGATGCAAGTTTTCCTTTAGCAAAAAGAGATTCGAGAATTATATTGGAGGAGGACAATAGTTTGTGTCAATATTGGTTTGCATTTTTGTTTTGGAAGTAAAGCCTAGGTTAACGATTAAAAGGAGTTTGGTTTATCTTAAATATATCTCGAGTTTGATCATTATGAATTGGTGAATGTAAAACTCAAAACACTGAGACTTAACAAGACATTAGAACAAGAGAAAGTGCAAGAATATAGGACTACTTGATGGAAAGAAACATGCATATTTTTAACTGAAGATAACATTCAAGCGTACAATACAACATGCTGGCCCTTAAAAACGTAGGGATTCAGCACTTAGAATGCAATACTCCTCTGCATACATAGCAAACTGCATGACAAGTCCCTAGGCAAAATTAGTATCAGCACAAACTATAACCCAATTATAACATCCTTCAAGAGTGCACGCCATTGCAAATGCTATATAGAGCATCGGGCAAGATAGATGCAGGCTTTGCAGCAAACCCATTTTGGTACACTTTCTTGTTAGGTTGGTGATTGCCCATTTCACAATTGAACTTCTCCTTACTCTCATTGCCTTGTAATACAGCATCTAACTGCCCACAAGCTGCTTCTATTAGCCCTGCATATGAGATAGCAATTATGTGATTAAGTAGTTTAAACTTAAAATTGTGACTTAAAAAGCCAAGTAATGTCAAGTACCAAAGAACAAAGCAGAAGGTCGTCCTGGTCTTGATTTAAATTCAGGATGGAACTGAACGCCAATGTAGTAGGGGTGAGTAGGCAACTCGATAATCTGCATTCTCATAAGTGTGTATGTTAATTCCAAGTGGACGCATAAAAATACAAGTAAAACACCGATGGTTTATTAGGTCAGAAAGAAAATTGATACCTCCATACGTTGACCAGTTTCATCCTTGCCAGTGAAAGAGAGGCCAGCATTTTCAAGGATTGCTACCTTTTCTGGATTTACCTGCACAAGTTTACATGCTTTTTAAGCTACTAACAACAGAGGCAAATCCTTAGTCTGCATTTCTAAATGCCCACGTAAATACCTCATATCTATGCCGATGCCTCTCATCAATGTACTTCTGATTTCCGTATCTGAAAGAAATGCAAAACTTAAGGATTAGCTGATATGAGGACTAATGTCTTGTTGTCCTTTTATATATATAACGTGCATATACTAATCTCCCACAACATGGATTAATTTATTCATTAAGCAATCGATTAAGACCACATTAACATTTCCTTAACCTGTTGCTATATATATATATTAGAAGTATTATTACTCACAATTTTGCTGATTTGCAGTCCTTTACTTGGAAATATGTCCTCCTTGATCCGAGTCGCATGGTAGCTCCCTTATGTGTTTTTGATCCCTATTTATTTGGTTAAGATTAATAAAGGAATGACAAATTTAGTTTGTAAGGTGAACTCAAGCGATGGGGATACTAAACCTCAGGCATGAATATAACATAGGGCTGTTTAGTATTGGGATCGAATTCAGTGCTATTAGCGTCTTTCAGGCCTAGAACAGATCGTGCATACTCAATGACAGCAATCTGCATTCCCAGACAAATGCCGAGAAATGGAACTTTATTTTCACGGGCATACTTGGCTGCAAGAATTTTTCCTTGCACTCCTCTATCACCAAAACCTCCTGGAACAAGAACACCATTTGCACCCTGAAAGGAGAAAACATATATAATCAGAGGGGATGACCAAAACCATACCTAACCAATTAACAAAACCACAAGGCCATTGAAACCTTGGAAGAACAAACCTTTAACAACTTCCAAGCGGCCTTGTAAGCATCAGGATTCTGCAGAGGGAAATGCTTTAGTCAAGGTATGACAAAGAGACATATATATGCATGGCATGGTAGGATTTGGAAGTAACTGTAACCTCATTTTTTGTTCCGTCTTCAAGGTCGCTAGAAGGGACCCAATCCACAATAAGTTTCTTGCGGTAGGCAACAGAAGCATGCAAAAGGGCCTACATATTAGCATGATAGCTTCAGTAAGACAATACAAAACATTCTAAACAGCAGCCAAGTAGATGGAAAGGAGCATTATTGTTTACAAATTTGGCTTAAATGCAAAATTATCACAAGAACTTCAGTTCCTATTGCAAGAATTCAAACTGAAAGAGTAAACTTAGGACAAAATAGATGAAAATGCTGTATGCACCTTTAGTACAGAGAGGTAGGAGTCTGAAAGACCTGTATACTTCCCAACTATGGCAATTCTAACCTGTATATTAATAAGGAATAACGATAAGACTGCCGATCACTAGTAATTGGAGAAATAAACGCTTACAAGTCGCAACTTACTGGCTCATGTAACTTGTCACAGATTTCAGCCCTTAAGGTCCACTCCTTTAAATGAGGCTCTCTAGTAATACTGCACAAAATTAAACATATTTGCATGTTCCAGACATAATTTCAGTCAGGGCAATGTTGAATGTCTAAAAGTTTCAATATAAAGAAAACAGAAGAATTTAAGTAGAACATATCATACACAAACCTGTGAAGATTAAGGGCTTTGAAAATTGCTTCATGAGCCCTTTGATCCTAGTGTAATAAAAAATAATATTCATTTAATTTCTAAAAGGGCAAAAAAAAAAGGAAAAAAAAGGAGGAAGTTAGTCCAGACAATCACAACCCTGGATATGCCTCAAGTCAACTTACTCTTAGAAGCAAAGGGATATGCCAGATGTTAGGAACATCATAGAGAGTGATGATGTTTTCTGCCTAGAAACAATTAAAAAAAGTGTTATGATTAAGCAGATCCAAGTGACATATATGCCAACAAGAGTTTCTTGTAATGATCACCCTACCAGAACAAGGCAAAACTGAGAGAGCTTTTCCTTCACATTCTCATCCAGTGCCTGTAAAAGGAAATTCAATTTACTCTTGAACCTGAAACTAATGGTGTAAAGCTAGTATGTATCAGAGAGACAGAGAGATCATCACCGTTGCGCTGCGACAAGCTAGGATATTGGGTGTCAAACCCAGGCCTCTCAGTCCTCTAACACTGTGCTGGGTTGGCTTTGTTTTCTGGACATCCATCAATGTTAAATATGATTACTAAGTAATCTCCCTCTTGTTCAGATGTTGAACAAGATTTTTATTACTTGCTGTTATTAATATAAGAGTTACCTGCTCACCCACAACATCTAAAACAGGCACAAGGCTCACATGAATCAAACAGAAATTTCCAGAGCCTGAGCATCAAGGATCAAAAAGATGTAAATTAATGTGAAAAACTAAAAATAGATACATGTTATGTCTCAGAAATTAAGCTGCTGCAGCAGCATATAAGTAATCCTACCAACACGGTATGAAAATTGGCCTAAAGCCTCAATAAAGGGCATGGATTCAATGTCTCCTGCACAAAAGCGAAGGGGTGTTACTTAATTTTTAAAAAACTTACTTCAAAATTTGTTGCTTTTAGAGAGTTTTAAGTGTTTGCACCTATGGTTCCACCTAGTTCTATGACACAAACATCAGGTGGCCCTTCCTTTCCATCAACTGGTACCACTGCAATCCGCTCAATCCATTCTTGTATCGCATCTGTAATGTGAGGAACAACCTGAACAGTTTTTCCTAAGTAATCTCCCCTCCTCTCCTTATCAATAACAGCTTGGTAAATCTTGCCAGTGGTGATATTGTGTTCACGAGTCAACTTGATATCCATGAAACGTTCATAATTTCCAAGGTCCAGATCCACCTAAAATCAAAATATTATTTGCTTCTTTTAACACTGAAACTAACAAAAAAAAAAAAAAAATTATAAAGTTCAAAAAGGTAGACTTTTCTTTTAAACCTCTCCTCCATCGTCTAAGACGAACACTTCTCCGTGTTCAATAGGCGACATTGTTCCTGCATCAGTGTTTATGTAGGGATCTGGATCATGGAAAAATGAAAGAAGAAACATCAGAAACACAGATTCAAGCAAGAACAAGAAGGAAGAATATAATTAGAAAAGGACCAAGGGAGAGTCAGAGACCAATCTTAATGGCAGTAACACGGAGTCCACAGGCCTTGAGAAGCACCCCAATACTGCTTGCTGTTACTCCTTTCCCCAGGCCACTCACTACCCCACCCGTTACCAGCAGGTACTTCATTTTCTTCTATCCAAAAAAACAGAGGAAAACAGAGTAAAGCAGAGTTCCGTAAACAAGTAGTTGATATTCTTAATAAATGTAGGCTCAGTTATTTTGGTTGACGGAATAATAAGAACAAGCATGTCATGAGAAGATCAAGGAATTGACTGAAGAAACACAAACCAGCAGCAGCCCTAGTGAGAGACAGTGACAAAGAAAAATGAGAATTAGATTGGAATGAAATTTGTCCACGCTACTGGAGTCTGTCAGCATTTTATATGCACACGTTGCCTCTGGCTCTTCAAATTCTTCGGCTTTTGCTATCAATTCATTGTAGTTCCTTTTGGTTTGGTGTAGAGTACTAAGCAGCGTACACGTTGGAGAACATGTATTCACATTGGGTTGAATCAGTTTGGAGACCTAGTCTTCGCCATTGTGTTACTAATTTGATTGGCTGCTATCAATTTATTGTCGTTAATTAATCCACCGAAAAAATGTGATCTTTCAAAAAAAAGATCACATATTTTTTTATTGTATAATTAAAGATAATTATCTTTTATTTATTATCTTATACTATTAGTATATCATGTAATTCGAACTCAAACCTTTTTATTGTAAATAAAAAGAGATTATCACTTAATTAGTATTTATGTCATTAGCCTTTTTTTATGTAACATTGAAAGTTAAAAAATCATTAAACTATAAAAAAAAGAATTAATTAATTTAATAGTAATTTTATTTAGTAAAAATAAGATATTTTAAATTTAAATTACATGATATATATTTAAGATAAATAAAAAGATAAAAATTATGTAACTTAAAGATTAAAAAAAAACTATTAAACTATTCAAAATATTCAAATATCCAAGGCCACAACGACCTTTAACTGCTTTTCAATCTCACCATAAAGAAAAGTACAGTAAAAAAAATAAACACAAACTGCTTTTGAATCGATTATTAGTCCCCACGCGGATATTTTGAGATTTTTTTTTCGGTACCACCAGGGATTGTGCTTTCTTTTTTTCAACCTCCATGATCAATACCATCATTTGTTTGCAATAATTTTAACTTTTCTCCACCGACCAATAAGAGATGTCTGTGTTACTATTTATTAATTAAAATTTTTTTTACTTAAAATAAAAATTAAAATTCTTACAACATCAAGTAATTAAGATCTAGCTCCAACACACAAAAAAATGTCACTTCGTGGAAGTATCTTTCATAAAAGTATAGAATAATAATTTTATATAAATTAAGAGAAAAGGAATTTCTAAAACTCCCTCCATTGCTTTTCTTCTATTTTTAAAAATTTTCTATGTAATTTAATATAATACTTTTATATAATATAAAAATGATAACTATAAAATTTATTCTTTCACATATAATTTTTTGTTGAGAATCATTTTTTTTAGAAAATAATCACAATTTATCTATACCATATAATATTCTCTATGTTTAATTTTAATAAACTTAATTTTTAATTTAAAATATTTAAATTTAATTATTTATTTTTATTTTAAAATGTTATTTAATACACTTACTTAAATTTACATGAGGAAAAAAAATCAAAAAATGGATAAAAAAAAAGGTAAAAGAGGGGCAAATTTCATTTTTTAGCTCTTAAAAGTTAAAAACAACCTTTTTCCAAAAGTTAGAAGTATTTGTTAACTTTTGTGCAGTTTTTAACTTTTTCTTTAAAAAATACTGTAGCTGATAAAATTTATATATATAATGACATCACAAGGCAGAATTTTGAAACAAAATTATAGTTTTTTTATTAAAAAATTATAGAATATGTTTTTAAAACCACGAGACTTGAAAAACATAGCAAATCTACAGCTATGGCAAATCTGCACCCCGCAAGATGTCCTAAGTATTAAGAATCGGAAACCCCTTTTTTGGTTAAAACAAAGATAGACATTACTAGATCAAAAGCTAAACTACAAGAGTCTCTAGGACAACTTATCATCACGTGTAAAAAAATTAAAAAATAGCAAGCATAGTATACTGGTTGTTTTTTTATTTTTTTTCTTGAGTCTACAATGTAGCTGCTCTGTGTCGAAGAAGTAAAGGATATTCCAAAAGGTAAAATGAGATAAGGGTTTTATTTTGTCTTTCAGCTCCACTCGCCGAAAGTGCAATATAGTTCCGAGCAATTAATGAGAAAATTAATAACGACAGCAAAATGTAGTCAAGGCCGGTAAAAGCTTTCATTCATGGGAATTAGAAACATTCTCTTTATTAGTAACTCTCTTTGTGATTCTTTTTATGAAATGCTGCATTTTTATTGAAAAGATCAAAATAGATACAGTTTGAAATATATTCTTATCGAATGGGGTTAGTATTATATTTTAAATAATTAATAGCATACTTTTTAAGATAATTATTTATTATATATTTTTTTAATTTTTTTATAAATTAAAAAATATGTCATTAATAATTAAATATATAACAATAACATCACTCATTTTTATTATATAGGTTAAAAAGTATAACACTAGAAAAATTCTATAATACTAATACAAGGAGCTAGTGCTCATGACATAAATTAATAATTAAGCGTAGAGAGTTAAAGGATAACACGTAAAAATGCTACCATTGGGTTTTCTTCTTGCCTTTAGTAACCATGCCTTCTACCCTCTTTTAGTACGTAGTCTTATCTTTAAAGCAAAGAATTTGCCAAGAAATCCAACTTCTGATTATGTTGTTAATAGTTGAAAAAAATGTTATAATCAAACCGAGCCCATCCAGCCTCAAATCTATGTTCTGTTTATTCTCTATTATAAGAAAAACTAAATGAGATATATCTAAAAAGTCTAGGTAAAAACTTTCAAAAAATAATAACAAAATCTCTTTAAAAGAGAAAATTTTTAAATAAAGGAAGACAAGCATACTTTTATTCATTCTTCTTAACTATCGAGGGCGAAGAGATGGCAACTAGGAGAAAAGAAGCATCAAGAGAAAAGGGAGGGGATGAGGGCAAGAGAAAGAGAGAGAAAAAGGGGAGGCGGCCAGGATTTTTTTATGTCTTAATAATTGAATAATAGTATAAATTTTTATGATTTGTTATGGTAATTTTATTTAATTTTTTTTGATAAAATAAAGTAAGTGGTTCAACCTATGGAAAAAAGGGGTGGGGAGAGAGGTTACACAAGTTTGAATCCTTGTTAATAGGTGATAAAGTCTTTTACATTTAAATATTTGGTCATTGGTTAATTATAGCTTTTGTTGTATTTAAATTATTAATTGCTAAACACTAGGGTGTCACATGAAGAAGAGGAAAATGTATTTATTGGTCTTGATTGAAAAATATATGTAGTGCCTAATATTAAAAGAATTTGTTTAATATATACTTTTAAGGTATATATTAAGAATGTATTAATTAATTTTATATTTTGATATTTAAAATTTATAAAAAAAATTTTAAAAATTGACATCAATAACACATAAAAACTTTTAATTAGACAATAAAATTAAAATTAACTTGTAATTTTTCAATTTGCAATTTAAGTGCATTTAAAGACACGGAATATCCATATCAAAATGACATCATTTAATTAAAAATCCTTCAAGTTTTTATAAATTTTAGGATAAGGATTGAAATTACATAATTTTAAAATAGTGCTGGAAGATGGTTATAAAAACTTTGTAATTTTGATGTTAGGGACTACAAATTTCTTTTCTTTTCTTTTCTTTTTTTGTTTTATGGGACAAGTAAATTAGTTGAAACACTTATGAAAAGAGGGTGAGTAGGGGAAATAAAAATTTAAATCTTGACTACATGAGTGAAAAAACTTTTTTTGCTAACAATTTTTTTTAAATAAGTTGTTAATAATTTAACTAATTGCTTTGCAAGTGTTCCTCTAAGGACTACAATATTTTTTGTCCTCAGTCCCTAAAGAATAAATCAACCCAGAAGAAAGATAAAGTGGAGGAATCCTTTTCTTTGAAGGAATCCACCAAACGACCAACCAACTACCAACAGATCCATCAATTGGCGAGAACAAAAGACATATCATTAAAGAATTAATGAGTGTATTAATACCTCATTGTTTATGTTTTGATTTCTTAAGATGTTATGAAGAATTAATTTTGACATTATAATTGGCATGTTTCTGAAAAAACTGAAAAGATGAAATTAATTTGATCCACAGAAATTCACTCAAGTATGTTGGATAGGAATTAAATTAGTGTTGGGAGCTGTCGGGGATTGTGTTTCGGGCAGAGAGAGAATAGTATAACACTGTTACTTGAATGTAAATAGGTATACCGTTCTACTCCAACAGTTCAATAAATAGGTTTTTGGCCTTTCAAATATATATATAATGAGAGAAGATTTCTTTATATATAAAATTTTTAAATTATATTTATATAAAATTTTAATAATTTATTTTTTTATTATAATGGTAAAGATTTATCATAATTTTTTAAATAAAAACTATAATTATCTTTAATAAATATAATTATAAATAAATAAATCTCAACAATTAAAAATGAAGAGATTAAAAATTTTATATAAATATGATGTATAGAATTTATGTGTAATTGAATAATAATATTATCTTTAATAAATATAATTATAAATA